ATCTCTCTATCAGTGTTACAGAGGGCGAACAATTTATGAGTTTACCCGGCATAAGGTTTATACAGGGTAAAACAAATTCATTTGGGGTTTAGGCTCCCAGAAAGACTGAATACTGGGCGCTGGGAAAATCTCTGTTAACTAAGAAACCCCTGAGCTGAGTGGATCTCAGTTTCAGTGAACTGCAGAAAGGGGTGGGTCTATGCTGCAGCTGACTGAAGTGTCTAACTCAGCAAGACAGGAGTGGAGGGAAGCCTCTTCTGGAAGGGGGGGGGGTTTGTTCTCAGTGGTATCCCAGCACATCTAGGGACAGTCTTGCGGGAGTTTCTGTGACCGAACCCGTCACAGAGTGGATCTTATTTTGTCATGGAATCCTGGAGATTAGAGGTGGAAAAGACCGGCTAGCACAACTAGTGTCTGGTCCTACTTCCATTGAAGTCAAAACTCCCGTTGACTTCAACGGTGCAAGACTGAGCCCTGAATTCCTGCCCCTGCCAATGTAGGATTATTCCTCAGTGTTGATTTATTCACATTTTAAGGAGAATTTGCTCTCCTGTTTCCTACTTGGTCAGTTTTCAACAAGGGACGCCTTGGAGGTAGTTCAGAAATGCACCATTTGTTTTGTCGCATTCTGAAACCACAGAATGTACGTGTCCCAGCTATTGGTATATAACCTCCATTTTCATGTGGAGTATCAGTGAACTCTCAGTACCTCCGTCCTAACCAAAGGGACGCATCCTGCTCACCCTCACCAGCCCAGAAGGCCCTTTATCAGATATTTACAGTGGAGAGCACATTATAATAGAGAGTTTCATGGATCCACCTCTCTTTCCATTCACATCCATGCAGATCACTCCCCTCTCAGTGCAACCCCATAATAGTCCTGTCCATCTAGATAAGGTACTTATAAAGTCTGCATGACGGTAGTATCTGAGCACCTTGCAATCCTTAATGTAAGTGCTATAAGCTCAGTGTACAGATGGGGAACTGAGGCACAGAGAGTCTGAGCTTGTCTACACAGGGCAGGGGCGGGGGGTGAGTCCGCATTAACGTTAGTTAGTTTAGGATGCTGGTTACCCCCAAATTGTCCGTGTCCCGAGTTCCTCAGAGGTCGCCTCTCATGCAATGCCTTGTTGCTGCACCTGCATTCAGCTGGAGTGGCTGTCCCAGGATGGAGCTCACGGAATTTCCAGCTCCTTTTCTCTGTGCATATAACACAGGCCAGAAATACTTATCGCTCACCTGGTAGCACGCCAAGGCCCACGGGGTAGGGTGTTTGGTGGCATGCCGAGCTCCCCAGGGCAAGATGTCAGTGGCAGGCCCTCTTTGCTGGTATTTGCTCCTGCTATAAGTACATGTAAACCCAAGCCTAGGTGGAGGCAAATTCTACCCTGAGAGTTGCAAGTGTAATGCCCATTCACGGGGGTGCAACTGAGGCAGAATTTGACATGTAAGATGATATCCTAGCCCCACCAAAGTCAATGGTTGCTTTGCCTTTGATTTCAGTGAGGCCAGGATTTCACCCTTAGAGTGTAGTGTAAAATGGGTATTTTGCTTGTTAGGGTATTTTGCTAACTTCAAGCCTTGATATGCTCTAACCGTCTGCTAGCAGCTGTTCCCCATCTTTGGTCCATTCTAGGTGGGGATTAAGTGGTGTGGTGAGTCAAAAGCATGCTCTTTGTTTCAGGGAAATTCTTCTAAATTACGTAAGATGCAGTCAGATCCAGTGATGAGTGTCTTGTAAGTGCCCATGGGTACCATTAGGAGAGTGGGACATGTAGCTAGGTCTTTTTATTTTAGCTTTCTCTGTTTATTTACAACTTTTATCTTTCATCCCATGGTGTGAGTCCACCCCCAAACCCAAGCCCCAGATCGGAACAGCACAGCTGGGCTCAGAACAAATCTCTACCTGCGTAAAGGGCAGAATCCAAAGTCCAGATGCAAATCCGCTAGAACTTGGGGCTTGGAAAACGAAACCAGCACTTTGCCATCACTGGGCCTGTTCCATCTGGTTTTCAGATTAAGGCCATTGTGGAGTGAGGTTTGAGTCATAAACCCAAATTCGACATGGATCCTAATCTGAGACAATGAGCCAAGATTTGCTAACGTGACTAGTGATTTTGGGGGGCCCAACTTGAAACTCCTTAAAGAGGCTGATTTTCAGAAAAGTGCCAAGCACCTGAACTCTGAAAATCAGACCCCTGGCAAGTGTATCAAGCTGGACACCCAAAAACGGACACAACCAAAATCACACATCACTTTTGCAAATAATTTATATACAGGTAAACCAGAGCTGGGCAAATGCAGTAAAATGTATGTGTGAATATTCTTGTGAATGAAACTCATTAAGTCATGTTTATTCATTTATTTGCCAATATTTGGGTGGAGAAAATTTTATTCACAAGATTTTTTTTTCTTGTGGAAAGCAAAGCACTAGTGCGAATAAATATTCACAAGCACACTCACACCCAAAGTGCTCTCACAGCCATTTAGAAGAGACGTTATGATTATTACTGCAAATTTGGCAAACAATTATGAATGTTGGCGGAGCGTTCACAAACAAACACAGAACCTTTTTCTTTTATAATGCCTAGGATGTCCAATCAGGCAACAGAAATAAAACCATGTGACTCAGATGAACAGTCACAGGGCATGAATAATAGAGAATAAATACTCATTGTGACAATGAGGAATGGATTGTTGGGTGGTTAGAGCACTGGAGACTTGGTAGACTTGGGGTTAAGTCTCTGATGTGCCACAGACTTCCCGCGTGACCTCGGGCAAGTCACTTAGCCTCTCTGCACTTCAGTTCCCCCATCCATAAAATGGGGATAACAACATTGCCCTATTTCACAGGGGTGTTGTGAAGATAAATACATTGGATGTTATCATTCCCTCAGATACTAGAGTAATGAGGACCATAAAAAAACGTAAGACAGATAGACTATCTCATGAGGCTAACATCTTTTCTCACAACCAGTTTGTTTGAATAACCAGTCCCTGTGTACGAATCGTGACCTAGTCACATGGAATTTCCAAATAGGCAAAACAAAAATAAAAAAGGCTACAGTTCATCAAAGAGATTGCTTGCTGTGTAGAGTTTTCCCATCTTAATAGAACCCAGTGGCAACCGTGATGGTTGGATTCAACTCCAGCTTTGACCTCCTACATAATGCTATCACACAACCTTACCTTCCCCAAACCAGCCCCTGCTCCTGCCAGAGAAAGAAAAACCATACAAGATTGTTCACTGCTGTAACTAGTGAGCCCCAAAGACAGAATGTACCAGACCAGTGGTTCCCAAACGTTTTTCCACCAAGGATCCATTTGCCATCTAACTAAATTACCCAGGCCCATTTCATTTTGTATACATAGGTTTCATGTTCTTATTATTCTCTTTGTTGGGTTAGTTATTATTTACCAGGGCCGTCTCCAGGGTTTTTGCCGCCCCAAGCAGCAAAAAGAAAAAAAAAGCCGCGATCGCGATCTGCTCTACCGCCGCCGCTTCAGTCTTCAGTGGCAATTCGGCAGCTGGTCCTTCACTCTGAGAGGGAGCGAGGGACCCGCCGCCGAATTGCTGCCGAAGAGCCGGACATGCCGCCCCTCTCCGTTGGCCGCCCCAAGCACCTGCTTGCTGGGCTGGTGCCTGGAGCCGGCCCTGTTATTTATTATTTGATCCTTGCTGATTTGATATTCCGTTTCAACAGTAGATTTTTTTTTCTTCTTAATGCTTCCACATTTTAACCACTGATACATTTTTGTCTACAAATTCATGGTCCCTTTTGGTCAATTTCACAGTTAGAGGATTTTAAAAATCGTAAATTTCATGATTTCAGCTATTTAAATCTGAAATCTCACAGTGTTGTAATTGTAGGGGTCCTGACCCAAAAAGGAGTTTGGGGCAGGTCACAAGGTTATTGTAGGGGGGATTGTGGTACGGCAACACTTACTTCTGTGCTGCTGCTGGCAGCGGTGCTGCCTTCAGAGATGGGCAGGTGGAGAGTGGTGGCTGCTGGCCTGGAACCCAGCTCTGCAGGCAGAGCCGCTGCCAGCAGCAGCACAGAAGTAAGGGTGACACGGTATGGTATTGCCACGCTTACTTCTGCGCTGCTGCTGGCAGCGGTGCTGCCTTCAGAGATGGGCAGCTGGAGAGCAGCGGCGGCTGGCCGGGAGCCCAGCTCTGAAGGCAGAGCTGCTGCCAGCAGCAGCACAGAAGTAAGGGTGGCATAGTATGGTATTGCCACGCTTACTTCTGCGCTGCTGCTGGCAGGACGCTGCCTTCAGAGCTGGGCGCCCGGCCAACAGCCACTGCTCTCTGGCCACCCAGCTCTGAAGGCAGAGCAGAAGTAAGGGTGGCAATACCGCAACCCCCCTAAAATCACCTTGTGACACCCCCACCCCCCACCCCCGCAACTCCCTTTTGGGTCAGGACCCCCAATTTGAGAAACGCTGGTCTCCCTGTGAAATCTGTACAGTATAGGGTTAAAGCCCACAAAAGACCAGATTTCACGGTCCGTGACGCATTTTTCATGGCCATGAATTTGGTAGGGCCCTACACATCACCCTTATTTTCACTTTAACAAAAATTATATTTGTGGTGTAGTCATGGTATTACTGGAATGCCCCCACCAGCGTGAGCTCTCCTGCACCATGCGTGTGAGGTCACGAAGTGCAAGGACACCATTTTATTCTCAAAATGGACCCCTCTGCACAGCGTGACCTTGCACAAGAAGATGGTGTCCTATGCACAGGGTGACCTAGCACGTACGGTGAGATCACACTGTGGAAAGGGCGCCATTTTGAGAACAAGATGGTGTCCTCCTTGTGGCAAAAACATCATAACACTGTACCAGCGCATTCCAGCCCCACTGCAGTACTCTGGCTCAAGGGGCGGACCCCCACATAACCCACGGCAGACCCCACTTTGGGAACCACTGGACTAGACAGTCACTTTAATTTTTTCTTTTAAGACCATTATTTATCTTGGAAACGAAACCACTTACCAGTTCCTTCCTGAGCCAATTCAGAGCTTCCTGAATGCTTTCAAAGCCACTTAGTTTCCCTGAAGTAAGAGTCACCTTCTCCTGGGAAGAACTCCCTTTGAGATGCACCTGCACCTTTCTTAAAGGGATGGCTTCCTCTGTGGCCTTTTTTTCTTCTTTAGCCTCTTCCTCCCCAGAGGGCTTGGGGCTCTTCCACGTCTGGTCCTCAAGTTTGGCCTTCCACTCCAAGTAGGAAGGGCGCCTGGTCTCCAGTCTCAGTTTCTCCGTCAGAGCCTTCAGGCTTCTCAGGTGGTCATGGGGAGGTGTGGCATTCTCAGAGGAGGCATCTGCATTGTCCGCCACCTCTTCTATTTGGATTCTGGGCAAAGACATCCTCTTCTGTAGTAAAATGTTAGAGGTTGATTGTAAAGATCAGGGCAACAGCAAAACTCAGGGAATCCTTCTTCTGAGAACAACTTCCATCTGTTGACTTGATGCACAAAAGCAAGCTCTCATAAGCCAGCCAGCCACATCAGCTGCTTCTCCACTCCGGCGTCACTTTAATTACGGAAAACACCTAAAAATAACGAACGATTGTTTTAACTGCAAGAAAAAAAAAAGGGAAATGACAGCTGATTGACAGGTCCTCCTAAAACCTGGCTGGAATGCAGCGTGTGAACGCACGTTATAAACCACCGTGCAAAGCTCTTCCTGGGTTATGTTACTTCACTACAGATTTCTGACTGTTTTCTTGGGCAAGAATTAACAAGCTCTAACTTTTAGAGAAACCTTTGTCACGAAGATCTCTCAGTCCTTAAGATTCAGGCCATAATGAGTTCAGGAAGAAAGCCTAGTCTCGCTCTAGTGATAGCATAGCATTGCATAATTAGATGCCTTCTGAAGGTTTTACACCTTCCTCCGAAGCATCCAGCATTGGCCATTGGTGAAGTGAGGCTCTCGATCAAACAGGCTCAGATGAAGTAAAAACTCAGACTTCTAGTCAGAATTCAAGCCAAAGGGGGTTGGGACATGTTTGATTAACTTCTTTTGTTCCAGCCCAGTTTTTCAGATTCTAATGTTTCAGATACAAAGGATTAGGTCTGTTCCAGCATCCGAATTTTTAGTCCCAAGCCATAATATTCAGATCTAGCTCCTCATTTCAGAAGATCGGGAGGAGGGGACAGAGATTGGCCTGTTATAGATAAAAGGGGTGACTGTGACATAAATATCCAGACTGGGGTTCAGACCCCAAATCTTTCCGAAGTTCAGTGTGTTTGGACCTGGAGTTATGGGCTCCTTGCCTTCTCTGACATAAACACAGAGCGATCTGTATATTTAAAAACAGAACAAGACCTAAAACCCTACCAAAACAAGACACTCCACTGCACCCTTTGGGGAGAGGAGGAGAGAGCAAACAACACATGACAGGTGTTAATCACCTCGCTTAATGAATGTACGGTGATGGGCGCAGTAGAAAGGCATCTATAGAATAGAACAGTATTCGGAACAAACCTTTAAACTTTGAAATTTCACATACCTCCACTCTGCTCACACACTTCTTCGTCTGAGACTAACCCTGCACCACCGGCACCTTTCATGTGAGGCTATTAGTGTGTTTTACAGACATCACTGCTCTGAGGTAGGCAAGTTTTATTAGTCAGCTGAGACGACAGTGGATTAAGATATGGGTTCTATTCTCACTGACTCCCTGTGTGACTGTAGCCATATCACTTCCCCTATTTGTGCCTCAGCTTACCCATCTGTAAAATGGAGATAAATGAGGCCCACATGTGAGATCTAAGCATTACTATTGTTACATGGAACGGGATGATGTTAGGCCCAGATAAGTGACTTTCTCAAGGTCATGCGCTAAGTCTGTGGCTGAGCTAGGAATAGATCCAAAGGAGTAAAAACACAAAACAAAACTACGTACTGCTGGGTTGGTAGCATGCCCAGAAAGAACTGCCGGTGGATATCCAGCCTTCTAGCTGAATACATTAAATGTTGTAATCTGAGTGACTCAGTAATTCTTCTGCCTGCTATTGACGCCCACGAGGGCCCCTGTAATTTTGAAATTAAGACCATAATTACTCCTCGCAAATCTTTTCAGCGAAGAGTCAATTTAAAATAAACACCAGCAGGCAGCAAGGTTTGCCCCACCGTTGTGTGTCGGCAGGGAAACAGACTGGGAAGCTGATAACATACACACAGACAGTCTGTGGGTGGAGAGCTATTCAAGTGACAGGCGTGTTCCTGCTCCCCGAATGAATGGGAGATATCTTGCGAGCAGGATGGGGCTGCAAAGCTAGAGTCGATTCAAGCTCGAGTAGTCTGGATGTCTGAGGGAAGCATCAGAGGTTGGCTGTTAGGATCCACGCACACTGCTGAGGAAGGATGAGATAGTGGCTAAAGCAAGGCAGTAGGCAATCTGGGTCTAGTTGCCAGCTCTTCCACAGAGTCTCTGTATGATCTTGGTTAAGTCACTTGCTCTCTCTGGTCGAGATCTTCAAAGGTATCTAAACACCCAACTCCCATTGAAATCAACAAGAGTGAGGTGCTTATATACCTTTGAGGATGTGGGCCTCTGTGATGCAGTTCCCTATGTGTGAAATGGGGATATAAATACTTAGTACTATTTGGATGCTGGTAGCGTCTTGCCCTGCCCCCTTTGTGCTAGGTGCTGTACAGATTCTTTTGTTTGTCTGTTTAGGTTGCAAAAACTATTCAGAGACGGGCTTGTCTCTCACTGTGTCTGTATGTGGCTAGTACAATAGGATCCTGAAACTACTGATCCAGGATCAAGCCCATACTGCCAGACAGAAAGTATCAGCTGTCCCTTCACTGGTGGGAAAATTACACTTTCTCTCATTGTCACAGGCTCCCTGGCTCAAGCAAGGGATTTGATGTTTTTCTGCACTGCAAGACAAACCACTGCCATTCCGAGCCTCGAACCCGTCACCACTCTCGCCCCAGGTGAAAATAGGCAATTTTCACCATGAAGCCTCCCAGGCGGCCCTTCTCAAAATGTGCAAATAGATTTTTCTTTTGAACAGCAAAGCCTATTATCCCCCCCACCCTTTCCAAATTCAACGCTGACAAAAGGGGATTTTGTTCCAGCTCCCCCCACAGATATAGTCACCTGGGGTCAGAGAGCTAATGTGGAAATGTTTTGGAAAGTTATAAGCACGTAAACAAGTGTGTGGAATTCTAAGAGAACCAGTTTCGTCACCCTAACCCTAATTTGCTCCCCGTCTCTGGCTAGGATAAACAGGGATCCATCATATCCGAAATCTGGGACCTAAGTTATGTTCCGGCCTTTGCGCTGCCTTCTGCACCGGAGTGAATTCCACCCTATAAGCGTCTGCCACTTTATCAGTGCAATAGGGTACATACTACAACTCATGCATAATATATATCTAATATCCATGGCAACATGTGACATGTTGTATAGGTAAGAAGGAACAGTAACCAGTACACATTATTTATAGCAAATTATTGAGAAGACTCTGCCTGGACAGAATGACTTGGTTTGCTTGGTTACTGCTGGCAGGTGATTGGTCTCCCTGGTCCATAAGTGAGCATGGCTCTAGCCAGCATTCCTTGTGCAGCCATTGAAATCAATGGGCCTTTGCAGTGAGCAGATAATGCTCTGGTTTTATGTTCCTGCAATGGACTAAGAAGAGGGCATTTCGTGAAATATGAAGAGAGCGGAGACTCACTTGGCTGATTTTTAGAACAGATAAGAAAGCAAATCATGTTAATGCAATGCGCGATTCAGCCTGTGGAACCCACTGCCACATGATATAACTGAGACAATAGTACACTCTGAAACAGACTTGGACATTTATGAAACCGATAACTATAGCAATTGAAGTAAAAGCAGGTAGGGTAACAATACTCAAGTGCTTTCAATACTCATGACGTAGGGTGTAAGCTAATTGTCCCCTGGGAACAGGAAGATATTCCCTGCCCCCAACCATGGCATTGCACTACATGATGAGATGCATCTTGGGGGGTTTATACCTTCCTCTGAAGCATCTGGCACTGGTCACTATTGAAAACAAAATGGTAGTCTACTGTAGTTGGGCCATTGATCTGTTCCAGTGAGCATGGCTATTCCTATGTTTCTAAATGTATGGTGACATCTTTAGCCTTTGAATATTGTTACCCGAGCTGCTTTTACCGTCCTAGTCTGTTTCACAGTCTACTATTTGCCCCAGTATTATCATGTGGCAGTGGGTTCCGCAGGCTAACTCACACATTGCATTAATATGATTTTGATAATGATATTAATTAGTCATTTGCAACCTAATGCCTGAAACTCTGCAGGAAAGCGATGCGCTCAAGTCCTTAATATAACTCTGGAGAGATGTCAGGAGAAGCTTCCATTCTGTAGAGTGACTCAGCTTCCGTCTTGCTTTCATGTCTAGGGCACAGAGAGAGGAGGGATTTGGGGGATGCGGAACCTTCCACTTGCTTTGTCAAAGCCCATTTGGCTGACAGGTAATAATAACATTGCCATTAGAAGTCAATCAGAGGCTGACGAAAGAAAATGGAAGGGGCTGCGCTACGAATGACTCCATATTAAACAGTGCAGTTCATGGCCTTTTACCTGGCTGTATAATGGAATGGGCGTTTTAAATGACGGACTTTAACATCAACCCTTTCCCCGCCTCCTGACAGCTGCCCCGTGGCTTACGCGACATGGCCCACACCTTGTCTTATTTGTCCGCAGAGCACTACGCCTGGCAAAGCATTTTGCATCGCTAGCTCCCAGTGACTTCAGTGGGCATTCAGCACCGTGGGAGGTCGAGCGCCAGAGAATCAACAAGGTTCATTTTGTCGGGTTGGATTTTTTGGAGGAGAAAAGAAGGACACAGAACTGAGATCTGGTTAATATTTTGTATCGAATGGAGTGCTGTGCAAAAAGCAAAGTAGCCGCTTCATTTCATTATGTTTGATGGACGGTACATTATGCTATTTCCCTGTATTATTCTGGATGAGCAGCACGTGATTCTAATAGCCTTTATCAGTCTACGCATTTATTCTTGGAGAAGAGAAGAATATACCAAGCTGCAAACCCTAGACTACCCTGGCCCAAAGAAAGGATTTACATAGCACCTTTACTGATGAGCTCTCCAGGTAGCCTCGTGGAGCGTGCACTGGACTGGCACCCAGGAGACCAGTCGTCTGTTCCCGACCTTGAGCAAGGCACTTCACCTCAGTTTGCCCCTCTTTAAAATAGGGGTAGTGATCCTGAACTCTGCTGCAATGTGCTACAGAACAGCCTGAGATCATTAGCAATAAAAAATAGGGGTGATCTACCCTGTTTCCCCGAAAATAAGACAGTGTCTTATATTAATTTTTGCTCCCAAAGATGCGCTAGGTCTTATTTTCAGGGGAGGTCTTATTTTTCTTGTCCTGCGGCCAATCAGTATTCCGGGGTTGCCTTATTATCTGGGAGGTCTTATTTTTGGGGGATGCCTTATATTACAGCGAGAGGCAAAACTGGAAGTAGGTCTTATTTTCGGGGGATGTCTTACTTTCGGGGAAACACGGTATGCACAAATAG